CAGCCATGGCTGCCATCTTATCTCTCTTCTTTTGAGTTTCTTCCCTTCAATGAAAAGCCATAGTGCCTTAATGTTTTATGTTCGTCTTGGCGAGGCCTTTGATTCCACTGATTAGAATCTCGTTTTGGCTATTTCTTAAGTTCGGATTTGAAGTCAAGTTGTGATTTTTATGGGGCTTCCTTAGGGTTCTTGTTCCCCGTGTTGTCCCCGACAAAACCTAGAAGTTTCGTCGGATTCAGAGCCGTTTCATTTTGGTGAGGATTTGAGATTTCATCTCAAATGGAGGTAGGGGATGTTTTAGGATTTTGTATGTATTGTATTGAGTGTTTTCCATGATTATACAACTTGTTTACATGCCTTGTATCAAATCTAGAAAATTTGTAATATTTATTTCTTTGTATAAGATTAAATTTACAATGATGCATATAACTTAGAATTGAAAAGTGGCATGATGATAAATTATGTTTTGATATGTTTGTTAACATATGTTAAATTGGAATTATTTGAATAAGAATTGTACTTTTTATTTAATAATTATCTTTTGTGAAAGTTTAACTTTCATGGGTGTACCTTGCATGAAATTAAGTTGTGATATATTTTTAAATTAAGTCTTGGCATGTCTTTTAACATACTTAAATTTGAGAGCATTTGGATAAGTATGAAAATCTAGAGATTTTAATTAAAATGATTAATTAAAATCTATTTAATGATTCCAATGGCCTAATTAAGTCTTTGAATTGGTGTATGCAATGACCATATTATATTGCTTAACATGTGTTAATTAGAGATCATTTGATTTGGATTTGAAACTTGGAGAAATTAATTAGGTTATGTAATTAATTTCCATTTCTATTACGGTAATGATTAAATTATGTGTTGACATTGATAATATATTTAAAGCATGATTTAAACTTGTAATGGATTTATGAGTTTATATTTTCAATATCGAATTATATTGTTATAGCGTGTAACGAATCGCACACCGAAAATTCGACATGTGATGTTATTATAATGCGTAACGAATCGAACTCTAAAGATTCGACATTGTCATCCTATAGTAGTTGTAGATTTAGAGCATGTATTCTGTGGTTACAAACTACTTGTGCATGAAGGTAGTTTCGTGTACTATTTAATACATATATAAGTTGTTAACTTATCTATTTTTGAGTCACTTGGGACATTGTTACTGTGATATGGCTAGTGTTTGGCTCTAGTGCGGGAGGTATGAGTTCTCCCCGTTGAGATAGTGCACACTAGGGTGGTCTTCCCAGCGGGTTAATGCCCGGAATAACCATTTTGTTCTTGGTTCAGTCCGAGATGTGATATCCAAGTCCTCAACTATTTGATTTCACACTTTTAGATTTCAAGTTAATAACTTTGAGAATCTATGTCTTAATGTGTGGTATTAGAAATTCTAATTATACTAAATTGCAATATTTAGTTGTTTTCACACTTTTAGATTTCAAGTTGATAACTGTGAGAATCTATATCTTGATGCGATGTATTAGAAATTCTAATTATGCTAAATTGATATATTTAGTTGATTTCGTATTTTAGATTTCAAGTTGATAATTTTGAGAATCTATATCTAGTTGCTTTGTATAACATGTCTTTATGTTGGTTAAATTGCATATATATTGTGATTTGCTTTTTGTTGTTCAATGTAGCTTAGGAATGATCCTATAGATTCATTTGGAACATAGACGTTAGGTGGCATGACCCACTTTTGTCGTTTTTGTATTTTAGATTTCAAGTTGATAACTTTGAGAATCTATATCCTGTTGCTTTAGATAGTATGTTTCTATGTGGTTTGAATTGCATGGATGATGTGATTTATGTTAGAAATGATTTAGGATAGCTTAGGATGCTCCCTGAGTCTCACCCTTGACAAAGGCGTTAGGTGGCATGAGCCCTTTAGCATGTTTCACCTTAAGGTGATAAAATTGTAAAATGCTAAGTCGATGCATGCTCATTTCCTACGAGTAGCTTTATGTTACTCACCCATGTAGTGAGGACATTTTTCAGGTACATGATTCAAGGTTAGAGATTCTCACCATACTTGGATGATTTGAGGACTTGAATGGTTCAATTCTTGTGTAGGTTGGCTTAAAAAGCCATTTGTAACCTTATATGTCAAATGTGTATATTTGATTATAAACTTGTAATGTGTGCCTAAGCACACTTTTTGATTCTCATTTTATGTATATGACATGAGGTCAAGGGCCAAACTTCTTTTGGAATTACATTCATGTCATGGATGTCAAATCTTGCCTTTAATGAGAATATATGAAAAATCATGCGTTTTAGTATGCTATTTTGTACCGGAGTGTGTATTGTGTATGAAGTTCATCCATTAGCATTCATTTATCATGCATGAGGTGTGGCCAAGGGCCGAGCGGCAATTCAAAACCATTTCATAATTTTAAATTCCGAATTTTCGTTCTAAACTCCATTTTTGTCATTTTGGCCGTTGGGGGGTCATATTTTGCATCGGCGATATTTTTAAGCCGTGGACCATTGTAGCGCGTCTAAATAGGTAAGTTACGTTTGCGTGCATGATCGTTTTCAAGAAAAACCTCATCATTGGTGATTTGAGCTTCCTATGGACTCATTTCGAATTTTTATTGCATAATCTGATCTAGGGGCATTTTTGACTTTTCACAGTAGTTTTATTTTCTTCTTTCGACATGGTCACTTAGAAAATGTGATTTTTGGGGGGGGGTTTCTTCTTCGTATTTTTCCAGAAAATGTCATCTTGGTATCGGAAATCGATCACAAAGTTTAGTTTTTTGTTTTTCACGTAGAAAACTCTATTTTGAGAGGAGTTTTTTCTTTTTCTTTTTCCAAAAAATGTTATCTAGGGCCTCAAAAACCCATTTTTTTTTCCAGAAAAACCCCTGCTGCTAGATTTTTGGGTTGAACGTACTGGTTTTTGCCATCAAACAGGTTAGATGGGGTCTTGTAACCGGTTAGATAAGTGTGGGCAGTGTTTTGGTCGTCATTTTTGGCCTTCTAACCGGTTAGAAGGGCTTGGTAACTGGTTAGATGACCTAGGGTTGACTATTTTGACCGTTTTATCCCCGTTTCTTCCGTTAGCCATATCTTCTTCATTCGGACTCCGAATCAAGTGATTCTTGAGTCTAAGTTAATTGATTTTTTGTTGTCTTTCCAATGGTGTGCTCGGTAGCACCCACTTTTAGGTTAGAAATGACCGTTTTACCCCTAGGTCCATTCTTGTCTGTTTTTGAAACGCCGCTTCCGCATTTGTTTTCTTTGGGTTCCGTGACCTCATTGAGTGTCACATTCGTGTATTAGAGATGCATTGTATCTCTAGAGACCATTGTTTCATCTTTTGCTTCCGTATTCTGGATCCAGTTCGGGTCATCACAGGACACACTAGGTTAAAAAATCCAGGGTTGTCACAATCTATAAGTGCCAACAACTTATGTCCCAAGGAATGTACGATGTCACAAAATATGAATTCCACTTCAATTCATCACATGATGGAGTATATTTTTTGGAAAAGAAAATTATTTTTGTTATTCAAACTTAAAATGCCATTTTACTTTCTAGCATATATCACTAACCAATAGGGTTGCACACGGTTCGATTTGATACTATCCTAGGTTAAATCGGAACCAAATGGATCTCAACGGTTCTTCAAAATTTTGAATCGGAATCGAAACATTGGAACCAAACTGTAAAAGACCAGTTTGGTTCAGTTTTGAACCACGATTCCAGAACTTCAAGAACCTCCTAAAATATAATGTAATATAACACTCCAAGCCGTAATAATACTTACGACTAATATTAGAATATGACAGTGAAAGCATACATTTTTTCATAATGAGAATATAAAAAAGGTCTCTCTAAGCATGAAGAGGTATAGACGATGTAGTCTTATCTTATGTTATATATATATGTCCAAAACCTTGGAACCGAGAGAATCGAACCATAAATTATATAATTTATGGTTCGATTCTCTCGGTTCCAATGTTTTGGGTCTGAGTCCAAGGACTTGGAATCAAAACCAATCGTAGAAGAACCAAACTGAACTGACAATTCAGTTCAATTCATATCAATTTAGCATAACTAACATTTTTTTTATACAGCCCTACCGACCAATCACTTAATTTTTAACATGATGTTAACCCATACCAACTAGCGCAAGTGACGTTGTTAAGTGAATTTCATATACGATTATAAAATCTTTCTTCTCAAATGCCCGACAAAGAGGATTTAATTAATTAATAACACGATCCCTCTAATTTTTCTCCATTCCTATATATGAATGTCAATTTAACAGCTCATTCTGTTCTTATTGGGACAATTTGAAATCACCTTAATAGGATTATGGACAAATTTGGGAAGAGGGTTTAAAATCTGCAAAGTTACAAATCACCTCGAAAAATAATAAATATATAAATAAATATTTTTTTATTAACTATAGTTTTTATTTTACTTTTATTTCTTATTATAATTTTAAATTTCAACAACATTTTTGTTCTTATAATTGTTAAATATTTGACTATACTTATTTTTTTAAAAATAAAATTTATCATAATTTTTATTTGAATTTAAGTTAATTTTTCTTTAAAAAATATTTATATCGAAGCTCCCCTTATATGTCCCATCTCAAATGCGATTCCGGGCGGAGACGAGTTTGGAAAAATATATTTTGTTAGTGGGATAAGTTTGAGGAGGAGTGGTCGGTCCCAAATCTGCCCGATTGGCATTCTTCCTACGTATTTGTGACCTAGTACGTGGGTATAGTGGCCAAAAAGCTTTAAAAAATATGCTCATTTTATATTATAAAACAATTACACATTTATATACAACTAACATGTATTCACTCTCTCTCGCTCCATGTATATTGCATGGCTAAGGTTCTCTTCACTTTATACGAATCGCCAATGATGCAAAATGTGGGGTCAAGGTCCATTCAAGGCCTGCCACGTTCATAACCACGTCCAACACAATATATACTACCCCTCGGTGCCGTTTGAGAAACCACACGCATTGTAGGAATTCGCGGAGAGAAATAACATTTCTTGCTCTCTCTTCAATTCCTTCTCCTTCTCCTTCTCCTTCTCCTTCTCCTTCTCTCTCTCAATTTTCTCTCCCTAGAAGTTTGTTAAGATTATCTGTTATTCAAAGATGTTCATTGAGAGCTTTAAGGTAGAGAGCCCCAATGTTAAGTACACAGAGACTGAGATTCATTCTGTGTATGACTATGAGACCACAGAGCTTGTTCATGAGAACAAGAATGGTACCTATCAATGGACTGTCAAGCCCAAAACTGTCAAATACGAGTTCAAGACTGATACCCATGTCCCCAAACTAGGGTTTGCTTCTAAAACACCATCATTCATTTAAACCCCAAAACAAATTTAAACCATTTTCATATTTTGTAATTTCGTACACACATTTATAATAATTGTTTGTATATTTTGTGTGCTCTTGTGTTGATTCTGTTAGGGTTATGCTTGTGGGTTGGGGAGGAAACAATGGTTCAACCCTCACTGGTGGTGCTATTGCAAATCGGGAGTGAGTTTCTTCATTACTTCTTATGATAATTTAGTGGTTAATTAGATTTTCTTCTTGGGATTTATATGGTTTTAAATAAATTTTTATTAGAACATTTGTTTTTAGTGTGATTTTCTGAGAATTAAGATATGGGTTTTTAAATTTGTCAGGGGAATTTCTTGGGCAACCAAAGATAAGGTTCAACAAGCCAACTATTTTGGCTCACTCACTCAGGCATCAACAATCAGAGTTGGGTCTTTCAATGGAGAGGAAATCTATGCTCCATTCAAAAGCCTCCTTCCCATGGTAATATAAATGTCCATATATATGTATATCCTTGTATTCTTTTGAAGATTTTTACTTTCTTTAAAAAATTGGAGCAAACTCTCATAATTTTGCCCTAATAAGGTTTAAACACTGAGATCGTACCATATGAACTAATTTTAAAGATTATTACACTAATTTTGTATATGGTTCAAATGAACAGGTGAATCCAGATGACATTGTGTTTGGGGGTTGGGACATAAGTGATATGAACTTGGCAGATGCCATGGCCAGGGCTAGGGTCTTTGACATTGATCTGCAGAAGCAATTGAGGCCCTACATGGAATCCATGGTCCCACTCCCTGGAGTGTATGACCCTGATTTCATTGCTGCCAATCAAGGGTCACGTGCCAACAACGTGATCAAAGGAACCAAAAAAGAGCAAGTTCAACAAATCATCAAAGATATTAGGTAATCATCATTAAAAAAGAAAAAAAAAGAAAAGAAAAAAAAAAAAAAACATCTTTAATTTGTCATTTCACATAAAGGGTTTTGTTAAAATTGATGTTTAACTAATGTGTTTGTGTTGAAATAGGGAGTTCAAGGAAGCAAACAAGGTGGATAAGGTGGTTGTGCTGTGGACTGCCAACACTGAGAGATACAGTAATATAGTTGTTGGCCTAAATGACACTATGGAGAACCTCTTGGCCTCAGTGGACAAGAATGAAGCTGAGATATCTCCTTCTACTTTGTATGCTATAGCTTGTGTCTTTGAAAACATTCCTTTCATCAATGGAAGTCCACAGAACACTTTTGTTCCAGGTGATTAAAGCTTAATAATCCTTTTAAGTACTTAGTGAATTACTATATATAACTCTCTTATTGTTATGAATGTTATGTACCAAAGGCTGTGTAGCCTAGTCGGTATTTCCTCTACCTCCCAAAGTAGAAAGTGAGGGTTCAAGTTCCCGTAGGGACAAACGGACGGTTGCGTGAGTTTCTTGCCGATGTAAAAAATTTATAAAGTATAAATTTAATGAAACTTTAATTATCTTTTGGGTGTTATAATTAAATTTCAGGGCTGATTGACTTGGCTATAAAGAACAACACTTTAATTGGTGGTGATGACTTTAAGAGTGGTCAGACCAAGATGAAATCTGTACTGGTTGATTTCCTTGTTGGGGCTGGCATCAAGGTATGCCATATTATAATTCCTTAAAGGGTCTTAAATTAAGGTGTTGTTTTATTCTTTTAAATTAATTTAATTAATGGTTAACATTTTAAACTTTTTATTTCTTAAGTTAATACTAGTTTTTTTGGTTCATGTAATTTGGATGATGCTCAAATTTGGAGTGTTAATATTGATTGGTTGTGTTGTTGACAGCCAACATCTATAGTGAGCTATAACCATCTAGGAAACAACGATGGTATGAATCTCTCTGCCCCTCAAACCTTCCGCTCCAAGGAAATCTCTAAGAGCAACGTTGTGGATGATATGGTTTCTAGCAACGGTATCCTTTATGAGCCTGGCGAGCATCCTGACCATGTTGTTGTTATCAAGGTATATATCTATATTTATCTATATACGCATGTATATATGTGAGGCGTAGATGTAGACGTGTTTTAAAAACCGTAGACACCAAGAGAATGCAAAGCGAAAAATATCTGCACATTGTTAGGAGGTCCTGCTTGTTTTGGTCTTACTCATCCTATGTGTGTTTTGTAGTACGTGCCATATGTGGCGGATAGCAAGAGGGCTATGGATGAGTACACATCAGAGATATTCATGGGTGGGAAGAGCACTATAGTGTTACACAACACATGTGAGGACTCCCTTTTGGCAGCTCCAATCATCTTAGACTTGGTCCTTCTTGCTGAACTTAGCACTAGGATTCAGCTCAAGGCTGAAGGAGAGGTTTGTTTGATCTTTAACTTAAAACATGAACTCCATAAATTTCTTAATTTTTTTAATATATGATCATGTTTTGGCCTTAATATATAACATATATTGAATGTATTTGCAGGGAAAGTTTCACTCATTCCACCCTGTGGCTACCATTCTCAGCTACCTCACCAAGGCCCCTCTTGTAAGTATACATGAAGGCCATTAATTCCTCTTTTATTCCTATCTTCAAATTAGACGTTTTGTCCAATACATTTGTCTTAGTCAAATTATGAATGTATGTGTCTCTATGAGCCAAACAAGGGTACAAATTCATTTTTACACCATTGAATTCTTGATTGTGACTTGACTGATCATTACATGTGAGAGGGAAGCTGGGTGGGGTAAATGCATGGGACACCCTAAGTGGTGGATGTGACCTTTTACAATGGCATCATTTATGTTAATAATATGTGGTAGTACTTCGATCCCTTTTATCGGCCAAAAAAATTGTAATGAAATACATCTTAGAGAGATTTTACCATGAATCTATTGATTCTATACGATTTATTACTACTTTTTTTGTTTTACCACTTTATTCGGACATGGAACCGAGGGGGGTTATTCACGTTCAAGCTAAGTTTCAATAATACTATTGCGAGGAATATTTTTAATCCATAATTGATGTGTTATTACTGAAAAAACAGGTACCCCCAGGCACACCAGTGATCAATGCACTATCAAAGCAGAGGGCAATGCTTGAGAATATACTGAGGGCTTGTGTTGGATTAGCTCCTGAGAACAACATGATTTTGGAATACAAGTGAAGAAACAAAGCAAGAGAATATTTAATAAAACAAGTGAAAAAATTTGGTTTCCGCAGCTGTCAAATGCCTATCTTCCTTCAGTACTCATTTTCTTGCAGATATGTGTTGTTGATGATTTGAAGAAAAATGTGATGTTTGTAAAGAGTAGGCTGGCTGATCAGTCTAGTGTTATTCTCTTTGGTTTATGTTCTAGTGTTCTGCTTTTAGGTGGTGATCAAATGTGTAATCTGTTTGCTTTTTAGCTCATTCTGGAGCAAGGTTTTATTGGTAATAGATATAAATCTGAAACATTTGTATATTGTGTTTCTATAGTTTATTTTTTTTCTTCCAAAAGTTCAAAACGGTGCATCACTCACAATATTGCTGTTAGTAGGACTCGAACTTTCAACCTCCCTAATGGCTATTGCTGTCTCATTTATTCATTGCTTTGCATTGATTCTAATACTAGTGTGATTTGTGAGTCTCTGACTTGTTTGGTCCTCATTTCCTGGATAATGTCTTGGAGAGATGTGGTCTAACACAGTTACACAGCTACAGTATATAATGTCCACCACATTCAAGAACAACCATGTGGGTGGGGCAGTCTCACTCGTGTGGAGACAGGTGGTGAGATGATTCCAACTTACACCAGTGCACTAAAAACCAACCAGTGCAAACATTAATTGCTCTCGCCGGTACACATCAGTCTGAGTCTCGTCAATGTTGGAATATAGAGGTACCCAATTAAACAGATCATGTGCCACAAGAGTGGAAAGAATTTTATTCCCTCCCATTGATGTCGGGTGGATCCTCAAATAGACCACGCTCAACCGCATCAAATGAGAGTCAAGTTCTGATGTTCGGCTCCCCGTTCGGTAGTCTTTCCTTCAAAGAGACTATCATTGCCGATTGACTTGTGCAGGTGTTGGTGTACAGAGGATCACACAGGAGTACATAATTTATATCGGATTAAGGTTTTCCTAAATTAATTAGTGATCCCATGGTCCTTTTAGTGTTAAAGTGTACAAATTCCCAAGCTTATTCTATGCATCATCATTAAATCAACAATGTAAACATCAGTAAATCGAAGATTGCAATAATAATAATAAGGTGGTGTATTTTTAATTTAATTTAATGGTATGGTAGGTGTGGAGGGAAAATACTTTCCTAGTAAAAGATCGATACATCAGCATATAAGGGGACCACCACAACCATTAAGACTATTCAACTTTCAATTTGGGCCTCTATGAGAATACTGGGTCGGGTTAACCAAGCACAGTGGGCTGGACTCATTAAGAAGGCCCGAGATAATTGGGACTCCAAGCCAAATTACGAATGCACTAATAATCCATTTTTACCAACAGTTTTGTTAGAGGAAGGGTTATTATCCAAGGAAACCAAATCATGTAAATCTTTATTATAAGGATTGTGTAAGGCAATTGAGATTCTTAAGGGATAAGCAATGCGAGTCCTAAAAGGACTCAATTACCTGTAAACCTCTTATAAATAAAGGCAAAAAAACCTCGAACAGGGAGGGACAATCTTTGCTCTATCAATTTTAGCTTTGATTCAATAGTTCTTTTTCTTTATCAATTTATGTTTTTGAGTGTTGTGAGGCAACTAGTTGACTTTTTAAAGTTAAACAAGTTTTTGCATATACACTTTGTCGCTGTATGTGGGAAACGTATAGAAATATACCCCCACAAGTGATTACTATCTTTTATGTGACTACATTCCAGGATGTCGATGAGAGTAGCCGCAGCAGATCAGCAAATGGAACAAATGCAAAAGATGCGTGAAGAATTCTTGCAACACTTTGAGACATTCTGGCAGGCAAACAAAGCTAGTACGGCTCAGATCGCGTTGCTTCAGCAATGGAATGACGTCCTTCAAATAGCCATGGAACAAATGGCACCATAGCATCTGCTGGTTGTTGCCAATATACCGAACGAAGCCCAAGGAGTTCCTCCTAACCCCGTAGGAGAGCCAGGGCTTCAGGCTGATCAGCAGTATCCCGAGGACCCCCAAGGGAGCCTCAGGATCCATCCTTAGATAAAGAACTCGGTACTGGCAAGCTTGCAACAGCGCCAACCCAACTTACAAACATATACGAGCCCAACCCAACCTTGATTCTGGGCACAACAGGAGAACTATTCAAAGGTTTCAGAATTCAGACCCCCAAAGAGATGGTGAGAGAATTCACTGCTTCGATCACTAAGACTTCGTTCACTGACGATATCGAGCTAATGGACGTCCTGGAGAAGTTTAGAGTACCAACTTTCACCTCTTTCAACGGAACCGGAGATCCAACCCATCATTTTGTCCATTACGCCCAAAAGATGGCAATGCATACCATAACGATCGTATCATGTGCAAGGCTTTTCTTACAAGCTTATCTGGGGTAGTGGTTGAATGGTTTAAAAATAGGCCTCATCGATCCATCTCTAGTTTCGAAGTGCTCTGTGTAGCATTCCTCGCCCAGTACTGCGGCAATAAAAGGCAGAAGAAGACTATTTCCACCCTCTTTGCCCTAAAGCAAATGGAGGGTGAGAGCCTACAAGCATTTCGCACAAGGTTTAACTTGGAGGTGGCTGGTGTAATACCTCTAATTTTAAAAAGATAGTCTCGGTAGTTTATTTTAGGGTTTTATTGTAATTTTTGCATGCTTGATGTGTTTGTTTGGTTTTGTTCTATTTGGCTATTTGTTAATTGGTAAATTGTCTAATTATTTGTTTTATATTTTCTTTGTTTTTTTTAATTTTAAAATGATCAATTTGTTGTAATTGAATGCGTGTATGCTTATGTGGAATTATTCTTTTTCATATATTGTGTATTTAGGTTAAACGGTATAATGGATAACTTCAGGGTTTTATTTTTCTTCTTCACGGTTAGCTAACTTAGTCTCCTCTTAAGATTGGAATTAGGTTTCCTCAAGCCTATATAAATATATCATTAGACGTCGGCTTAGGGTTTAGAAATCAAAAACCTTACTCACGTATAGGCAGAGAGACGTAATAGTGAGAATTGTGAGGAAAACAGAGAGAACTGGTTAGTGCTTCGGCCGTGGATTAAAGGTTGGACCAGGGTGAGACGGAAGGAGTGTTGTTCGTGGTTGGAACCAAGGGCAACAGAGGAGTCGGGAACAGTAGGAATCGCTAAAAAACTTAGGAAGATGGCGTAGAGATTTTAATTCAAAATCTCGCAGATAAGTTCTATTCCTAACTCTCTCTCTCTTTGACTCGTGTTCTTTTCATGCCTAACACAACTCCAGGAGTAAATAGACATTAAAGATTAATCTAGTTCGCATGTTAATTTCAAATACAACAGTATGCCTTTATATGAATTGGTGTTTGCTTGTTTGTAAATTTCCTTGCATAATTTATGTTTTAATTGATGTTAATTGATGCATAATGAATTTAATAAATTGTTGGGACTGTCTGGAACCTAGAATAGAGGGTTAGGAACCTTAGTAAGGACAATCAGAAAGTTAGAAAACAGCCGGCGTAGGGGAAGATGGAGGCTGGGAAGAGTGGAGGCAATTCCACCCTCCAATGGAGGCGGCTCTGTTGAAGTGGAGCCGGCTCCACATGATGTAGAGGCTGCTCTAAGGGGAGTGGAGCCTCCTTTACCTTAAATTGGAGCCTGCTCTACATCTTTTTGGAGCCTGTTCCTTTGTGGATTTTCAATTTGTTTTTAATTTCAGCGATGGATTTTACTTCTGTACATGGATTTTGATGTTCCAGTTTAATTAGAAGCTATACTGGAGGTTCACAGAGGTGTCCTGAGCTTATTTAAAACTCCCAAGAGCCTTGTTAATGCATAAATAATCACCTTGTATTATAGTTTGAACAGTATAAAATTCTTACACAAATTGGTATACTGTTTTAGATATGGAGGTTTAAAATTGTTCATCATTGTTTTAGCAATTTTTCGAGAATGATTTTATAGTTTAAATCATGTTCCAGTGTTATAAATAAGCATGTGAATTTATATATTCTATTATGCTTACTTAGAATTAATTGATATTTACATGTTGGATCTGTATTATCAATTATTGACTGTGCGGAGTTATATCAAATAAGCCTGTTAAATTACAGAATTTTATCATGCTTAGTATGGAACAATTGATGTTTATATTTAATATTTTAATTATCAATTGTTGGATGTATGGATTAGTTGATATTTACTTTCATTATCTGTATTATCAACTACTGGATGGATGGATTGTATGCACCGGTATGGGACGGTGGCATACTAGGGACGGATTAGTTTCAAAATACTAAATCCTACCTATACGGAATAAGGGAATAAATTATAAAATAAATCCTACTTATAAGTCAGATCAGCTGAAACAAAGTTGAATGACTAACTGGATTACTTGCTATGGATATGTAAGTCAGAGCAGCTGAACAAGCTGAACGGCTTACTGGATTTCTTATGGATGGATAGGATATGACTTTAAATATATTTTTATGGTACTGCGATATGAGCTTGAGTTTTAGAGTCGACGGTTAGGAAGCGTATATGTAGTAGGATGCGTAGCTGGTTATGTTGGTGAGGTATACCCTGTTAAGCTTAGGTAGTCATACCCACACATGTGCGTTTTGCATGTTGCCTTCTACTCAGGTTGAGACCCATATCATAGTCCAGTAAGAGTCCCATAGTGTGGATATATATATATATGTACGGACTACATAGTTATTATTGAGTTAGTTAGGATGTACATGCGTATCGAGTCTTTGTTGGATTGTAGTAGGATGAAACTTGTTCGTGGGTCTGACCCACTTCTATTTTTCAGGTATTCGACAGTTCCAGTCTTAGGATTGATCGTGCTGAGTAGAGACTATCAGTCATTCTTCCAACGACGGACTTCTCTCCGTGGTTGAACTTTGGATGTTCTTTCAGTTTACTTTCATTTCAGTTTGGTTTTAATTAGGGGTCCACTAGAGATAGATTCTCGAGTTGTTAATTATTGGAGGTTTTATGGAGGATTGGATTTCTGGATTTTAATTTTATTTATTTAAGGATTTTTAAACTTAGATTTTTTTCAGCTCTTAATTATTTATTTCTTATTTCATTTTTGTATTCCATATTCGTTTTAAATATTAATTGTTTGATATTTCCTCGGGTTTGGGCTTGGGCCTGATCAACCCGTGTCTCGGATCCGAGGGGTATCACAGCTGGTATACCTGATTGCCATCAGCCTTATGTCGTAGAAGCCTTCAAGATTACAGTCATCCAAGGATCAAAATTTCATAACTCATTGCTCAAATACACCCCTCCAAATATGTCATCTCTCAATGCTCGAGCGCAGAGC